AATAATTAATCGGCCCGCAAATGTGAACGATTCAAAGCACAACTATATGCTACTGGAGTCGGCATTTAGCATGGCCAATATGCCCTGGTATTTCGATACCAGGGCACTCATTGCCGGCGACAGCCATGAGTTGCTCAAAATGGCCAAGTGCTTTGCCCAAATGGATGTTACGCCAGACAGACAGCTACAGCGCCAAAAGCATCCATCCAAGTCAAGTCGACCAGCGCGTTACTCTGCCGGCGAGATAGAGCTAACTCAACATTTGAGTAGCCAACACCCGTCGACAGAGGCGACTGCAGTCGAACTCTTAGATGCAGTGCACCCGAACTCAGTTGACGCTGTCTTGCTGTCCGCTGCTAGCGATGAGCAGCAGCTAAAACAACGAATCCAAATTATGTTCCACAACCAACAGGTGGCAGTGGACGCATTTATGGCGGCAGAGAAGCCACGCCCCTTCGCCTATCCCCTCACAGCCCACAGCATGTGTTCTTGCAGCAAGTGCCTACGTCAAAGTCAGGAGGCAGCCCCTGAGCTTTAGTTTAATTAAAGCGCAATTTAAACTCATATTTTATTAATCCAGTTGAAGTTTTAAGTTGAAGGTCCCAAGTATTCATTTATTTTGTCTTTGAGTACACTAATGCAAAATACATATGATGAAAACTGTTTTTTCAAGGTGTGATATACTCGACGAATGAATCTTGTATTGTCATCTTCTATTAGGAAGGACACATATATAATACAAGCATGCAAACATACATACATTCATACATTCATACATGCATACGTGCATACATACATAAATAAATACATAAATACATACACGTAGAAATATACATGTGTGCATGCGCATGTAGACACATGCACGCATGCTACATGTTTAGCTACATGTTTGTATGCATATACAAACCTACTTGCACACCTCCTTACATACACATGAATAGGCAAACATGCCAAACGTCCCTAATAAGTATGTGCGATTGACGAATTCATGACTATTTCACTTACATATAAAACTAATATTTTTGATGAAATGTTTTTTTTATGAATTTTTGTATTAAAAATAGAATTGCACTACTTGTTTGATATTTTTGGTAGACTTTTAAAGTATTTATTCTTTGTGAAATGTTTGAATTGGTAAATTTCTTTGAATTACTTCTTGCTTGTTTTCTTTCCGTCTTCTTTTATCAAATTGTGACTCCCTCTTCTGCAGCCTGTGGTCAGCCAGTGGCCAGAACGTGTTCATGGATTGGCTTTAAACATCGTGTACTTATCGCTGTACACGATGCATTCTGGTCACTGGCTAAAAATGGATTCAATCCCAGACATCAGCAGCTTTAAAGGACGCAAAGCTAAAAGCATTGCAGAAGTCGTGATAGAAAAGCTGAATGCCAAACAAATAAATATGAATCTTATAGCAGAGAATAAACGACACACAGATGCTCTGTAGTAAATGTTCAATAATGTTAATACATAAATAATATATTTCAATTGTTATGAAATCCTGATATATCACAAAATGCAATTAAAAGCACCTCTTATATGAATAAAATGAAGCATGGCCATGTATAAAATGGTCATCTCTTGTCTCCTATTAGCTAAACTTAATTAGGTCCATTTTGTGCACATAAAGGCACATGGCATAAAAACAGAAAAACAAACATTGCGCATACGCCGCGTGTGACAGTGGGCCATTCATTTAGTTGGTGCCGTTCATTTACTGTTTGCTTAGCAAATTATAAAAAACCAAACGACGAGCTGTGAAGGGCAGCATTGACTGTTGCGTTTCGGGAAGCGCGCAAGCTTTACTTTTAGCATTTGCCATCCAAGCAATCAACCAACGAATTGACAGCAAAAATTGAGGCTAATGAAATGCTTGTTCAGTAAAAGTGACAAAATGGTAAAAGCACGACTCTATATGCCAGCTAAATAGAGCGTCATAACTTGGCTAACTATAAGCACACATGTGTTTATCTATAGCATGCGATTCTGTCAACAGCTCAAGTATTTATTCGATTGTTTGAGCAATTATGCATTATTATCATTTTGCTTTTCTCGATGGGATGCTTATTTATTTATTTGGCTGCCAAATGAAATGACTTAACAGTTTATTTATTTATACTTGAAGCTCTTAAGTTTATGTAATATTTTTTTAAACTTTAATGATGCAACTGGAGGGTCGCATTGGCGGCCCTTTGGGTCATGGCAAAAAACATATAAATACAAAAGAGTTTTGCGTTAAAAAATATCGGTGCTAATTGATTGGAAGAAAAACTTGAGGAGCTTGGCGAGTGGCAGCGATTCATCAACAGCCTCAGCACAAGGACGGGGCCAGCATATTTTGGCCTTATTGTTGAGCAGCCTTAATGATTGCCAACAACAACAACAACGACAACAACAACGACAACAACAACAACGGCAGCGACTGCAGCAACAGCTATGCAGCGTGTGCCGCTCTTGGCCATTAGCTGCATGCCAAGTGCCATGCAAGCCAAATGCATTTCCAACTCATTTAATTCGCTTGAGCGTCCTGCCTCAACTTATGCCTTGACTTCATGGCTTTCTTCTTTCATATCGGCATGCTCGTTGCCGTTGTGCTGCTGCACATACACATAGTCATTGCCATGGCCATTGCCATTGCAATTTTCCAACAATTTCATTTTCATATTTTTTTTATTTTTTATTCTCTTTTCCGGACTCGGAAATATATGCGCGCTTTGCTTGATTTTCCATGAATTTTGATCACCTAGCCGAGAGTCTTAATGCTTCAGTCGGGCTCTCCACTTCATCCACTGCATCCACTGTCCGTTTCGCTCCTGCTTTAAATGCATTCAACATATGTGCATAAATTTCACACGTGGCGCGTCCGTCGCGCCAGCCCCACATGCATTTTACATGCACAAAAGGATTTTCAGCTTCAGCATTGGCAAACTGCTGTAGACCAGCAAATGCTTCAATGCCCAAAGTCAGTCTACCCCCCACCCAACCCCTCACTCTACTTTCCACTTTTTTGTTGTTGCAACAATTCTGTGGCCAAAGATGCAACTGCCAACTGGCAACTGGTGCAGCTTGCTTGTTAATACGACAACATTTAATTTTTAATCGTTGCATCCGACTCACAATTGAGGAGAGACTGGCTACAGGAGAGGTTTTTGTTGCCTGCGTTAGCGATGGCTGCACCGCAGCCTCGTAAACCAATGCGTTACATATGTTTAATGAAGAGCGTTGCAAGCACGAGTTGCCCATGGCCTGGCAGTCTGTTCTCCAGTCCCTCGTCCCAATGCCCATGCCAACTGCTGCACCCACTTCTCTTTGCACTGCCTCAACGGCATTCAGAACGAGAAGCCAGGCCACATCATCCAAAGAATTTATACACTGTGAATCCATATTTCGATAATACAATCATGTCTGACCCCATAATGTATTATATATCTATCTAGCTATCTTCTCCCATTTAAGTAATGTCAATAAATATTGAAACTTGAAGTCTTGAAACTTAAGTCAAATGTTGCAGAAGTAAAATATACCAAATTTTGTATGTTATTTCTCGAGTGGTATATATGTACATATCCGAAATAGTTTGCATATTGGATACCCCCCCCTTTCCGACAATATTGGAACCTATCGTGTTTAAAGATGGGGCCTAGCGATTTGGTATATGGCTTTCGGTGCGCCCTTAGTCATGCATTGCCTCAGGACTCTTGTATATTTTTACATTCCGATAACTGTTTGTATCTTTTTACTAGTGTATTTTCTCTCAGTGCATTTTGGTAAGCCTTTGCCTGTGCATTCCGCTGAATGACTCTCTTCAGGCTTGCACAGGCCTGTGCATTTAAGGCTCTCTACATATCTATAAATATGTACATACATGCGAGCAAATACATATGTAGATACGTATACGTGTATTGAGTTGCAGATAGATATGCATGCGGCTGGTTTCTGCCACGGCGGCGGCGGCACGGCGCTTGCTTCTGACTCTGCGGCAAGTTATTATAACAGTTCATTGATTTTCAATTTTCAATGCATTTCATTGCGAGCATTTTCATTGTTTGCATTTTCTTTTTCCTTTTTTTTTTTTTGTCAGTTACCTCCCCTTTCCTCAACCACCCGCGTCGAGCCGGCGGGCCATTCATTTGGAGTCGAAACGGTGAAAATGGGCCTGCCCCGCCCGCCGAGTCATCCCTGCTGCAGCAGCTTGCAACAAATTTCCACACTGCATATTCACTCGAATATATAAATTCATGGGTAGTTTATTTTGGCAGTACGAAAATGAACAAAAATTAAAATTAAGAAAATAAAAGTTTTAAATGAATAATAAAAAAAATAAAAAAAAAAAAACAAAACCGAAGAGAAAAATGGAAATAATTTCGTTTGTGCGTGGTATTTTTGGTTGGCAGTTTTAACTTTTTATTGGTCTGCCAAAGGGCAAAAGTATTGTCCTTGCTGATTGACTGCGGCTTAATGCACTTAAAGTTGGATTTATTTCTGCCTAACTGTAGCAAAGTGAATGCAGGTATGCTTTTTATTAATATTCAGCAGCACGATCAAATTGCTGGCCACAAAGGAAAAGTTTTTTTTTTTATTAAGTTAATTTGAAAAGTTCTTTATACACAATTTTTTGTACACAAACAACAGAGACAGAGACAGAGAGTTAATGCGAGAGAGGGAGGGAGTTGGGCTGCAGAAAGACCTCTTGCAAACTGGGATTATTTTGTATCTGAGTTAGCCAAGAACTGTAGAGCTATATTTAATTAAAACAATGACAATTTGCAAAATTGAGGATTATCCACTCGAAATCAACAAATAAATGTCCAAATATTATTCTCGTAAGCGTATCATGAAATTATTCTCAATTGATCACGCGTCATTCGAAAGAGGTCTCATAAACACGCTTGGCAAAACCTTTTAGCACGTGTTTTCTTTTCCAACCTGTCACCCACATTCCAGCGTCTGTCTGGCCAGGCTTATGCAATGCCCAATGGGCAAAACGAAAAGCAAACAGCTATACGCCTAATATCATTTATTATAGACGGTTTATTATTTATTTAACAACACTTTGACTTCCGCCCGCAAAGGGCCAACAACAAAATGTCATCTTATTGTCGCACATTTGGAGCGACACTTTTGTCAAGCGGCTTTTGAAAATGACTCTCCGGCTCCCCAGTCCATTTGCGGCCTCAGCCAGCGCAGAGTCTTGTGATTGGACATGGCTAATTAGTAGCACTTTCCCGGGGACCAGAGCGCAATTGTGTTGGCCGTGACTTTGTTTTCTATTTGCGGCCACTTTCAAATTTAGCCACACAAAAGCTGATGCCAAAAATTGGCTGCCAGACGGTGGAACGCTTTGAAGAACCACAATAAAAAAAAATATATATATATCTTTGCCCAGGCATTGTGATCAATAATTTCTTAGTAATTTCAATAATACCATAAGCGGGCAGCTGAGAAACTGAGAGTAGCAAAAGTTACCAAAAAGACACGCCCTTGTGGTGAATAGCTTACTCTACTCACTTTTAATTTATGTATGTATATGTGCTCTTTTTGAATCTGTTTTTATACACAAATAAACTCCCGCTTCTTCGTAGGCATCTATATGCGGTGACACACGTCCTCTGCACAGGCGTCGCTGGCACTGACAGCGCATGCAATGCGATTCGCCATGCTGTTTGCAGGGTCTAGCAAAATATGAAAAGAATTGGTAGAATCTTTGATATTATTTTACCGTATTCATTCACCTACGCGATTTGCAATTTTTGGCGCAGACAAACGGATAGGAATGACAACCAATTCATTTCAAACAGTGCTGCAAAGCTCCGAAATATACGAATTGCCAAAAGGTAGCTGTCATTATCATATTTTCAGTGCTGTAAGCCTGTGAAGTACAACTCCATTGATAATTATATGTATGTAAAAGTAACTAGTTGCTGTCACGAATAAGCCGATTGCTTGGCAGTGTTGTATAACATAAATACCAACTTTCGGTTCATCAGTTTAATTTCGTTTCCATCCTTGCCAACAATTTTTTGTTTAAAATTGTCTGTGTTTCATATCCGCAGCATTCTTCAAATCATGCACATCTTATGTTTAATTTTTTGTATTTTACGGCCAAAGCATTTCACAAATTCTTAAAAAAAAATAATGAGCGCTCAATATTAATACACATGTTCTTATATATTTGTCTCGATTTCTAACAACCCGTTTCGTGTCGCTGAACACCTGAGCATGGCTGCTTTTCACATTTTCCTCTTGCGTAATTTATTGACCCTTTTGTATTGCATTTTATCCAAATGCTTCTTAGATCTATTGTTCGTATTCTGTTAATGCAAGGAGGGGGGTATTACATTTGATTGTCCTGCGTTCGCTTTTGAGAAACGTTTTCGAATCGTGCAAATGGCTATTGCATAAAGGTAACCAGGGGCAATTTCTTGAAAAAGCGTGCTCATAAATTTTAATTATGTGCATTCTATAATAGGACTTCATTGTGCCCCTGCCCGAGCCCGAGTGCCCACTGCGAGTGCGAGTGCGAGTGCAATGTCCTGCCAAAGGCGCTGAACCATTTAATAAGGCTTGTTGCTGTGCGTCCATATGAATATAGATGTTTATGTATACATTCATATACATATGCATTATCATTTTGTATTACCCTGTGAACCTGGTTGGCTCTTTGAGGGTTGTTTCCTGCGGCTGCCACACCATAAGGTGACCATTAATTAAGCGACAGCATTAAGTTGACCTGCACTGGCTTCATTTAGACCCCCACCCTCCCCCTCCACACCTAGCAGTCAGAGGGGAGCAGCCCCATGGCGTCATCAAATTAGCGCTTGTGTAGCATCTATTTCAATTTGCAACACCAGTCGATACGTAGCAGTTGCAGTTGCAGTGGCAGTTGCAGTTAGACGAAACTCGCAGCCAGCGCTTTCTCAATCTAATTTAGGGTTGCTTTGTGCGCCATGCCGCAAAATGTAGCTCTTGTCGCCTCCACAAGACTGACAAACCGACAATCAACATTTAAATGATGATAGCATGGGGCCCCGCACAGAGGTGAGAGACCCTGGCCAGAAGCCCGAACCCCGGCCTCGTACCTAAGCAACGTGCGTCAATTACATTTCGGTTGGCATTGCGAAATGTTCAGTTTGGTTACCAAATTGACGGCGTGCCCCCGGGGTGCTGCCACCAGTGTTGCCTTTTCACACGGTGTCCCATCCCCATCCTCAAACCCATTGCTGTGGCACCATTTCGCACAATACCAACATTGATTTAGTGCCATGCAACACACCGAACCAACACCGAAATGCACTGCGAAATATTCAAATATATTGTATACTACATATTTTATTTTTATAGAGCTGTTGTTGCTCTTGGCAGACCGTTAGCAAAGCTATACAGACTTGTCAATGGCTTTAAAAGCTGACACCGGCAAGGAAATATCTGTTGAATTTTTCCGGATTTCACTTTAAGGTAAAATTGAATATTGGTGAAAATGTAAAACGTTTTTGTACAAATCTCTGTAACAGGCGGCAGAAAACATTTCCGGTATACATTCTTGATGAGCATCAATAGTCGAGTCGATCTAGCCACATCCGTATGTATGTGTATATAACATATATAATATATATATTTTATATAATATATATCATATCACATAGTTCCAATAGTAACACTAACTCAATTATTGCGATTTGCCACGATTTTAAATAGGCTTTCAAAATATTCACATCACGAAAAAAACGAGTGGAAAATCAATTTGCAATAAGGCACGTATATTCGGTATACGGGCTACGTATAACCAAAGATCTTTGCAAATGATTTTGAAATTGATCTGATAATAAACGGAAAAGTGTCATACAGACTTGTTTTTCAATTTATCCACACGGGTGGAATTTCCCAAATCACCCCATCTATCACATAAAGTAACTTCATTTAAAATGTCCGCTTCGTAGCTAAAACAATCAGCCAGTCAGTCGGCACAAACAGCTTTATATATAGAGATCAATATATATTTAAAATTACCTACTCACCTGTAGAGCCATATTTGATTTTCCATTATTTGATGTTATTGTCAGTAAGCGAGAGACGAATTTTATGAGCACAATACTGAAAGAATAGACAAACAGAGATAATGCTTATTAGCTTAAAAAAATATAAGAAGACATATAAACTAATATGAATACATACGCTTGTAAAAGTGTCTACTATTATTTTAAATATAATAAGACATAGATTTGTACCAGTTTTTTTGCCTTTTCGAATGTTTCAGCCGCCGGCTCCTTTAAAATTAAAGCCGTATCCTTGCATGTTAAAGCTGCCGGCTCCTCCTCTATTAAAGATTCCGTCTCCTTCTCTGTTAAAGCTGCCGACTCCTCCTATGTTGAAGGTGCCGGCTCCTCCTCCTATGTTGAAGCCGCCGGCTCCTCTAATATGAAGTCAAGCCTACGAGACTTACTTGAATTTATGAGAATCGAGTAGGAGGGCATTATTTAAAAGTACGTTTTTACATACACACATACACGCATACATACATACATACATACATACATACATACATACATACATACATACATACATACATACATACATACATACATACATACATACATACATACATACATACATACATACATATATACATACATACATACAAACACATACAAACACACACATACAAACACACACACACACATATATACACACAAACATACATATACACATACATACATACAAACATACATAGAAATATACATAGAAATATACATTCACATAACTATTCCTAGCTCGTATGGTTTGGGCTGTGAGTTTATTATTTATTTATCAGTTTGTCAGTCAGGACATATAGTATTATATCTGCACATGAATTATCTCCCTTATTGCGATAAATTGCATCTTGTGTCTTACATATGAAAGGATTTCTATTAGATGTCTCAACCCTGGCACATGTTTCTGCCCACAATATTAAGCTGGCCCCCAACTAGGAAGCTCTGCGGCTTCAATTTTTGTCTGGTTCAACTCGATCAACAAGTGAGTCGTTTCCGCGTAGCCCCCACGCCACGCGCAACTTTAAGAGCACTCTGCACCAAAATTTGTGGCACACTGGTGACTGCAACTTGTGGCTGCCACTGGCATTGCCGCCGCCCGCCGACCTCCGTCCACCATACCTTGGCGGCGAGACCTTAAGCCACATAAGTCCAACTGCTTGTTGTCTGTAGTTTCTGGCTCATCCTGCTCCTCGTCAGCGCCGGGCGCATTCATAATGCATGAGCCGTACTCAACCGCTGGCTCGGTCGGATTCGCAATAATTCAACTTTTGCCATCGACAAGTTCCATGCATAAAAAACTAAGCGTTTCATCATTTGAGAGCCAGCCAGCCACCGCACCGCCTTAGCTGGGAAAAGGTGAGAGTTTTTTTTTTTGTTGTTCCGAGCGCTTCCCTATTTGCCAGATTTTCCACATTGCCCACGCTAACCGATGCTAACACGCCCACAAAAACGCCCCAATAATATTTTTTGAATGCAACTGTTGTTGTTGTTGCCGTTGTTGTTGGCAACTTTTTTGGTTGTTGTCGATACGCAAAAGTTGCTGCTGGCGCTTTCCAACCTACGACCCCCCATTCCCACTCCCGCCCCCGCTCCCGTTGCACGACCAACTCTTGTCTAACGGAATCTGTGTGTATCAGTGCCCAGGATTTATGTGTTTATATTGCGAGTTTGAAGTTAGTTTGGCAGTCCGCGTATTTCTAGGGCAGCAGTTGTTGTTTAGCGCGTGGGTGGGTGGGCTTTGGTGGGGGATGGCGGCGGAGATGTCTGCCGATGTTCCTTGGCATGGGAATGCGGTTGCACAACCGGCGGACGGGCGCATAAATTGCAACCATGTTTATGTATAGCATTGCAAAAAGTGTTGCAAACAAAAATTCAGAAATGAAAAAACCAAAAAAAAAAAACCTAAAGGAAAAGTTTGGCGGCACAGACAAGTTGGCAGCTTTGGCGGAGGGGCTGCTGTAAATGAGGGAAGTGTGGGACGGGGGTGTTATTGAGTAGTGATTTGTTTGAGTTATTCTCATTTTTGCGTTGCCATTGAATCGCTCTGATTGAATGCTGCGGGCTGTCCATCCGCCGAGTTGAACACTGGACCATTTGGTCGCAACGCGTCTGCCCCGAGACTGTCATTCTCATTGTGCGTGCGGTTGGCATTGATATGATGCGGTTGGAGAGCGCCGTGGACGCAGATCCGATGAAGTGTGCTCCCAGTAGCAAAAGATATTCGGACAAAAGAAGTAAAATCTTTTATTTGTTTATAGTCAACAAGCTGCACTTAAATGAGCTACGCTGCGATGGCAATGCACAAAGCAGCTGCAGATTCATTTTTGGCTTTAATAATTATAATCTTTTCCATTCATTTTGCCTTTTTAATTTATCAATATACTTACTATTAATCTGGCCGGACATTTCAGTTCTCACACTGCATGTTCAGTTGTCTGAATTACTATAAAAGAAATTTTCTGCCAAGACTAAAATTTATATTTAATTTAATTTATAATCGAGCAGCTTCTCTAAATATAATACTGTCTGCCCTATTTGAGTTATATACTGACGTGATAGTTCCTAATTTCCACCCGCACGTGTGGAAAAAACGCGTATTACAAATGAAACTTTTCCATCCGTTCAGCCTTAAACGCAATATTAAATATCTTTGGGTAAATTCGCTTGATGCGTATGTCACACTTTTCGCCAAATCCACCCCCATGAATGGAAATGCGAATGAAAATGTATTTTTTCTTAACGTGGAACTGTATCCTAACCTAATTTGACTTAAAGAACCAAAGTCTAAGCACAGAACTAGACTGTATACAAAACTTTTTTGGTAGGAATATGTTAGTAGAATAGTCTGCCAACTGACAGAGTGTTGTACGCGAGTATCTAACCACTTTAATATGTAGATCCAACATGCCACAGTGCTGGCATTAAAAATCTGAGATTACTTTTTAGCAGCAACAGAAACTAATGAAAAGCCATTCGCAAACGAACAACAAGTAACAAAATCGAGAGAGTAAATACACACGCACACACACTCGCCCCGCGTGTGTGTTTATGCATATAAATATATAAATTGCACGAATATTGCTATATATATATTTTACTTATATAATCGAACAAACATTTATGCATATGAAAAATTGCGATGGGAAATTTTTAGCATATTGCCTTGCCTCCTGCAGCAGCAGCGGTAGCAGCAGCAGCTTATTTCGCTATAATAAAAAATAAAGGAACATAACACACATGGCACATAAATCTTGCAGCTTCCCCCATGCAACCGCAGCTCCCGCCCCAGCGTTGCCCCTGCGCAACCCTTGGCCACCTGGCAAGTGCCTCTTGTCGAGACGAGGTGCTAATGTCAGCCACTGCCGCCGGAAGTGGCTGCGAAATGTGCGAGCGGCATCGTGTGCTGTTCAATTTTAAATGTAATTTCTGCTACATACACATACATGCAAACGACGCAGCCATCTCTGCGATCCGGGCGAGCAATGATTCAGCCCCCAACCCCAATGCATACTCCTTTTTTATTGGCACGATATTGAAAATTATGCGAACGCGCGTGTTTGGCTAAAGCGATTTATGCACTTCACTTGCCTTGCAGCACGTCTGAACGTCGACCGAAGGGGAGAGGGAGGCGGATCTGGAGTGGTAGGTGCCGCCAGCATTCTCTCTGGGTTGGGTAATCGTGCAGCAAGCGATTCTGATTGGAATATAAACTACCAGCATATTCCGTATTTGTGCTTATCACAAGCTATCGCTGCATTTTCAACAAATAACCAAAAATGTAATACAAAAAAAGAAAACGAAAGGCAAGAATGCTCTGAGCGAAAGTGCCCGACAAGAAGATGCCTCGTACTCAGCGACGAGATGTCGCCACAAACATTCGATCTTCCTTGTGTCATCCAAACCTCGAGATGGGTTCAAAAAACCTAAGCTGATAATCGATAATAATCGATCTATTTCGATGAATTGCGAGGTGGACAATTCTTCTAAGGTCTGCTCGGCTGTTGATGTTGATTAAGTATATGTATTTTTTTCTTATTTTATATTTAATTACAATTAATCCATAAGTAAATTTGAGTTCAGCTGAGTTTCATTTCAGAGGCGATTGGGCAGCTAAAGAGTAATTTCGGCTCTTGTGTGGGATTCAGGCTTTTGTCAAGCAAGCTTAGTGCGAGTTTTTTTGCTGAAAATCGAAAGTTTTTGATGATTGATGGAGTATACCCCAAGGTTCCTGCAAATTAATGCGAAAATTGCGCTGTAATACGCCAATGCAGTAGGTCAGGTTGTTCTTGAATCGTTGCTTCCACATTGAATAGACGACCCCAACTGGATATCCTGCGTCCATATAGGTAGGCCTTGTTACTGAAGGTTTTACTGTCCACAGCCGTGGTGTCTGAATATAGTCTCATTTCATGTTGCACTGGTTTCCGTCGAATGTAGCCTACTATCCAGCAACGTTGCTCAGCCTGGGATCTAAGCATTCACGAGCTGGTGGACTAGCCGCATACAGCACACTTCACCGCGGGACACTTAACAGCATTGAAAGCACCTATAAGTGATTTAGCGTACACATATTCTCTCACAGGTATTCTCTCCTCCAGGTAGATTGTAAGCATCAGGCTGTTGTAGGCTCAAGGCAGATGCAATCAAAATCCTGGCTTGATATCCGGCAGGAATCGAAACTCCTTCCTCCAAGTGTGTTAATCATATGTAGGGAGATCCTAATGCACTATTGATATTATAAGCAAACTAGATTCGCAGTCCATTCGGTTTTTTAAAATTGGCACCTATCAGCATGTACATACATTCTTTAATAAGGGCTTGACGACCAAAAATTTGTACAAAAATCAAGTTTTTCGGCGTGACAAAATAAAAAGATTACCATTTTCAATGGGTTCGGGAAAAAAATTTAAGCAAAAATAACATTATATATTAGTTTAAATATTTCTTATAGAACCATTCAACGATAAAGCAGCGTCCAAATACTATTCAATTGAACTTTCTGCCTGTTTACATATTTTTCGATACCTTCTTTAATAAAGGTATAAAGACCACAAAATATTAAATACAAAATTATTGACTGGCAAGTTGCCTACAGAGTGGGAAATCTTATGGATACGTTCTCTTTATACGTATGCTTGTATGTTTTTTTGATCTTGAATGTATTAACGTGCGAACAAAAATAAAGGAAAAAAAATGAACAAAACAAAAATAAAAATATAAGACAATATATATAATAGTAAGGTTTGAAAAATAAAAACATGATTTCAACTATCTTCAGTAAACATTCTTTTAATATATTTTATTTTCTGAAATCTGGGTTTCAAGATTGGCTTCCGCCTGCCCACAAGTTCTTCGATACCATCTTTAATAAAGATATGACAACCAAATATAAATATATCATATATTCGTCTTCAACTTCCTGTTGCCCGCGAAGTGAGATAATTTCGATAAGTTTTCTTTTCACATTTTCTGTGGTCAATCTTCGATATATTTGTATAAAAATATAATGTAATCAAAATAAAATATAAATACTTTGTTCAATATTTCTTACATACGTTAAGAAAAGTCTTGAGTACTTCTTTTGATAATAATCTTTGTTTTGAGCACCTTTCGGGCTCAGAGTTTCACATTGCCCTTGAATCATGCCCGTCCCTATGTTTTTCGATACCTTCTTTAATAAAGATATGACAACCAAAATTAAAAATGCAAATAAACGGGCAAATGTTGCCTGCAAAATAAGAAATATTGTGCATATGTTTTTCTCTTCAGACATTCGCTTCGTAAATTATTTGGTTGATTAAAAGAATTGATTAAAAAAAAAAGGTCCAACGCAAATGTTTAAGAAAAAAAAGTTTTTGATAAAAAAAAAACGTCCAAACCAAATCGCGTAAAAAAAAGCACATTAAAAATATAGCAACCAAAAAGTTCATTTTAACAAAAATAGAAGAAGAAAAAAATAATTGGTAATAAAAATGCAAATATAAAATTAGAGACCTTGAGTCTTTGAGCTTCCGAAGGAAACTGAACAATCTCATGCTTGGGGGCTAGGGTTTCGGTTTTTTTCTTAACATATCTGTTAGCAAAGCAGAGTTGCAATTATATCGATAAGAGCTAGAATAGTGATGTGCCACTAGTTTATATTTTAGATGTTATCGAAGTAACCTTTGCAATTTAATTAGCGGCGATGTTGAGGCACGACAATAATTATGCGTAATTGATTGTTTCGATTCCCGTTTAAAATCCGTAGACCGTATATCTATGGAGCTTAGTCTTGACTTATCTATTGTTGAAATGCATTCGATGAGCAAAGCAAAACGCAATTTTTCCACTGGCACTGCGTGTGCTTTCATAGCCAGAGAACTTTGCACTTTTAATAAATGCACTTGACAATGAGCAGTAGCATTTGAATAGGATGACTGCCTGGGATATTCAAGGCAATTATTAGCTAAATAGTATCCCCTTGAAGTTATTTCATATGCTGCACCCAAACTTCAAGATGAAACAATGATGATGCCTTTTAAGTACATATATGATATGATATGATACATTTTTAAAATTAAGAAAATAAGCTCTTGGGTGGAAAATAGGAGTCAAAGGTCGATTGAACGAAAGGTTCAATTTTCAGATTAAGCTCATTAAGAAAGGTCAACATTAGAGGAGAATGATGTTTCCATCGGTGTTGAAGGTATTATCTGTAGTATGGAATATTTAACATTAAAAATAATTCATCTATTTATCTATAGATAAGGAAAAAATAAATAATCGACCAGGAATCGCCGAATGTGAAGTATATATGTATGTAAATGTAGGCAATGTGGGATAAAAGAATGCGAATATTTGTTTTTAATTAAGATATGTCCCACATTTTCCAACTGTAAGCATTCACTTATTCATTTTCCCATTGGGAATGATCACCAAACGATTGATTTCGTGCTTATTTTCATATTTTGAAGGCGATTTGTGAGCTGCGGCAACCGGCTACTGCAGGCCATTTGCGTTGTTGCAACGCGAAAATAATGCCCCATTAAGTGTTGCAGTTGCAATTGGTGGCAACACTTTGGCCAACGTGCTCGCAATTAGGCCAAAAACCAAACGAATGCCCCCAAGTGCTGGCAGCAAACGAAAAGGGGCCAAAACAAACTTAGCCGCTTGCAACACATCTGCCGCAGTCGACAACATCAAGGTCTGTGTCTGTCATTAAGATCGTCAGAGTTCAAACGAATGTTTAACGAGTGGGACAAATGACAACGCAGCGCCATCATTCAGTCATTCAATCAGTCAGTCGGTCAATCAGCCAGTCGGCCAAGGAGCTGCAACCAAAAAGTGCATGAAAAATTAAAGTTATTTAATAGACATGGCATAGCAATTGCAACAGACCCTACAACATATCCAAAATCAGGGCGACGATCATCATCATGATTTGAAGTCTCGCTCTGTCTGTCCGACTGTTTGTCTTTTGTAGGCAGGTTCATCTGTATTTTCTAACCATTTGCTGGTTCAACTTGCATGCAGCTATGTAATCTCTTGTTGCAGCTTTTTGTTGCCCTGATTGATCCAATAACAAATACAATGCAGCTACAATTTGTGTTATCATTGAGGAAGCAACACTCAATTATGGCTCTGTTTGGGTTTTTCTAACGGGATGTCTAATGGCTTTTTGTGGAGCAAGCGCCCATTGCCCAATGCAAGCTGGCATCAATAGGCCCGACGCCGACTTGCACTGTAAATCATTTTGTACAATTAATTGAAGCTCCCATATGTCTTGATTGTCTATGCGATGATTAAGTTGATTAAACATTGCAAGTAGCTGAATGCGCTTTGTTGAACGGACACAACTCGATTAACACATAAATATTTGGTAAATTATATAAAGAGCTGCCTTTCAAATGGAATATGTGCAAATGAAAACTTGTACTTACCTGAAGAACGGCCAAATTCAGATTCGATAGGTTTTCTATTTTTATGTTATTTCAGCTTGACTCAATAATAATAATAAATATGTTGTATTTGGCGACCTTAAAAAAAAAAAAACAATAAAATTATTATTTTGCGGATAAAAATAATAATAATTTATTGAACAATGCATATAAGAATAATAAGATGCAGTCGAGACACGAGAAGAATAAAAAGCTATTAATATATATATATTGGATAAAATGATGTTAATTTCTGGATTCTACGGTGTGGCTTCGTTCGCATGTTACCTTTAGCTTTCACATGCATCCTTTGCATATTTCTAATTACAAAACCAATATTTGTGCAACCCCCTCCCAGCGGCAGGCCATTGAGTGCCTTTTGCACTCTGCTTTTTGCTTTTTGTGTTAAAGTTTCTTATATACTTTTGCAGTTGAGTCTGTTATTTTTCGTCGCATTTCCTTTATTTACTTTCCTTTTCCTTTTTTTTTTCATTGTTGTTTCTTTTTTATTCCTTGGCACTGTATCATTTTTTCTAGAGTTCTGTACGGCAAGAGAGTAGCAGCAAAAAAAAAAGTTTCTTTGGCAAAGTTTATGTGCCACTTGCAAAGATTTACTGGCTGAACTTTTGCGTTTTGCATACACCAGACCATAGATATCCAATCGTATATGTATTTAGCTGTGTGCTATATATTTTGTTTCTTTTCTTTTGGTTGTATTTTATATTTTTTCAAGCCAAGTTGCGAAAAGTCTGCACATTGCTGTCACATAAGGTGCAAAGCGAAGTTGAAGCTCAAGCTGCAAAACTTTTGCAGACAATTCAAATCATGCGTGTCCTGTTTCGGGAACAGACACAACGCAGCCTCCTGAATAATGCATGTGCGTCAAGTCCTTGGCAGACAGTCACTGGCGCTACTGATTTGGACACTTGATTAGGCTGGCGAGAAACTCGGTGTGACACAGTCAGAGCTTTGCACTTGGACAGCTGACACATAGTACTAAGCCATTCGAAATGGCTAGCTTTCAAAGTTGGGTTTATAAATGCAATCAACGCAACAAAAAAAAGTAAATGCCAAAAGGCGCCGAGACACTACCATAATTAAATCGTATCTGCGGCCGGCTAACATTAGCTTAAAAGCTTTACGCAAAAAACTTGAAGTGCCGATCAGTGCTTTAAGTAAAGCTTAAAGCTAACAATTACAATCAGTGTGGGTAAAATTTAAAGCTCAGCGGCAAGCAATTCAAGTTTGCATAAGTTCTAATATCTCTAGAGAAATGAAGAAAAACTAAGTTTCCAATGCAAGCAAATAGACGTGCATAAGCTGAGCTTACAACTTAAAGCTTTCGTTACGTTTTGAAGTAATGGATACTAGGAATCATTTATGTTTACTGAGGGCTTAAAGTGCGCATAATTTTTCGAATGCAGGCTGCTTAAGCTTTAAGGCAGTCTACAGCTTAAAGCTATATGCTTGAAAGCTTTAAACTTTTCTTATTTTATTGATGGTCATTGAAAGCTTTAAGCAATTCAGATTATAAACAAGCGCAAATTAACTGTAATGACGCTTGTCTTCATTTCGATTAAAGCTCTTGTTCATTACAAGAGCTTTAAAATTTTTCAGCCTTGACTAAAGTCGTAAAGAAAGCTCCAATTTGATTAAATGCTACGCCCTTAACTTATTTAGAGCTTTGAGTTTGGATTAGTGCTAGAAAGCCCAGCGGCAAACTATTTGAAAATATGTTTTGCTTGCACTCGATTGCAGTTGCCGTAAAATTTTCCCATGTAAATTGTGAAAATGGTGGCAAAAAAAGCCAAAATAAAAAAGTGGAGCCAAACTGAAAAACTGGCAACGCATGCGAAAACATTTTTGTCAACTGAAAAAGCGAAGGCGACAAACAGCAAACAAACTTTTACTCCAACTGTTTTGCCAGCTACCAACAAACTACAATGGCAAAAGTAACAACAACAACAACAACAACAAAAACATTGAAGGCAAAAAGTTCATTTACGTAAATGTGAATTCGGCAAGCACAGCGCCACTGTGAGAAATTAATCAGCAAATGGATTTTCAATTTCCCCATTAACACTCGGGAACAGCCCACAGCCCACAGCCCACAGCATCCAGCACCCAAGCACGACAGCTTTCAGTGTCTAAGCGATCCAAGCGCTCGCGCTTTGTTTCAAAAAAGGGGAAAAAATCAAAGGTTATTTGTGACACGCCGCACATTAAATACCCTTGTAGACACATGGCTTTCAGAGAGATCTTGATCGATTCTTCCTATGCAGCTACAAGAGTTAGAGCTTCGATTCTGTACATCAGATATGTTAGGATAGGCGAGTTTAATTAAGATATAATGAAGTAGCCAAGTCTGTCAGGCAAAAACTCAATCTGTAAATGATTATTCCCATAGAGCTATATGATATAGTATATATTTATATATATATATAATTTGCATTGACTGCAGATGCTGACCAGGAATATATATGTACCTTATGGTCTCAAAGTTATCTCCTTCTAAGCGTTACACATTTAATGGGAAAATAATAATACCCTTCCCAAGTGTATAAAGGCATTGCACTCAGGCCCGAATGTTTGAGCATATGTAATCCGTGTTAGTAGCTATTCGCTTGGACCCAATGACAGCCCGCAAATCTTCTTGTCGCCGAGCCGAATAAATATAATTAAGTAATACCATTTTGAAAGAGGAGTCGGCACTGTTGGCAGCAAGTAAATGTGTTTGCGCCATGCCGAATTCAGGAAACAGGTTGCAACAGTCGCCGCCAACAGTTGCCGCATCAGCCTCTTCATCTCCAACTCCATCTAAGACTCCATCTCCAACTTCATTCCCATCTTCGGCCCCAACTCGATGTCAGCTACTGCTTCTGGCTACTGGGTTTTTGGGTATGGGTCAAAGTGTTTGCTTGTTGTGCACACACACATACCTGGCCACGGGCTGTTTGTGTTTGGCTTGGGCTTAGCTTTTGCTGTTGCCGAGTGTTAGTTATTATGCAACAACACGCGGATCATGAGCTGCAGGCGCCTTGCAACAATGTTGCATAACACCAAACACTCGCTGCAACTCCAGAATGCTCAAGGTTTCTGCCAGTTGACATATAAACAT